TGAAAAAGTAGCAGAATAACAGGACAGGTTTTTTTTTTGCTAATCAAGGAGATGCAGAGGAATTGCATTCTGATGGAATATTAAACAATCCCGGGTTTCACAACAATATCCGCTAATTATTAGCTCATTTACATGATTTACAAGAACCCAAATGCTAAGGATTTCATCAAGGATTATATCAATGAGCCACGAGACTGCCCGGAAGATTAGTTATGCTGTAGGGGTTTCATACGGATGGATTGGGAAGTTTGGATTGTTATGCTGCATGTACAGAAGCTGATCTCTTGCAAACTTGAAGACTTTATAAGTGATATTTAAGTAATGATATTGCAGGAGGTCAGATACATATATCTGAATATTTTAAAGCACTGGGTGGAATATCTCTTCTATTTCCCTGTGGAATTGTCCTAATTATTTTCTTAGCAATACACAGTGGGATCAATGTTAAAATCAGAATGCTAATGTTGCTGACAGTGAAAGCTGTTTAGTATCTAAGTGCCCAGGGCCTTCATCTCAGAGTCCTTCCCTGAAGGAAATGATGTAAAACATGGATGAACACCACATGCTGTCGCAGGCTGCCCCTCTGCAACCACTTCCCCCAAGGCCTCTGTCAATCTGGACAATGTGCCACCTAATGGTGACAAGCTGCCGTTACAGCTACCCTCTCACCCCAGCTCACCCCTAAACCTTCAAAAACACATGCACATTTGTCTGCAATGGACAATCTCAGGCATTCTGAGTATGACTGCGTCCTCTAATTTTTTACATTGCGTCCACGTCTGTATTAAAGAGACGTGGATTGTTGACATGCTCACAAGTGTGAGAGCTGAAGATAATCTCCCACCTACACAATGTATTAGTACCACTGTTTAGCATATCCCAAAAAGGCTTTGGAATATCATTGGGCCAGATGCCAAATGACAAAACAACATCTTATCATATGCATACAGGCAAGATTTACAACAAAGACTTCAAATGGCCTTCCATCTGCAGGCTAAAATTAAAAGACGGTGACATTATCAGCATATTCACCTGAAGGAATGCTGCAAACAAGGTTTGCGGATATCATTTGAGGCAACTGATAAATAAGATCATCATCTCGTCAAACTAATACACAAAAATAGTGTAACACGCACAGGCAGAAATCAGAAGGAAGCTGTTGGTACAATACTGTTACATTTCTATCACTTTATCATTTTCAAGTGATGGTATTATCATTTAAATTATGAATTACAAAATGATTGCATTGTTGGCTGTCTTGGTACACATCTGTCACCCAGACAGCTGGTATCGACAGCAAATATTTATCAGTGTTCTCCAGCGTGTATGGGTGTGCATGCGTGATGATAAATTAAGTTGCAGGGGTACTCGTATCCACTTTAATGAAGCTAATTAAAGAACTATTTAGAGAGAGAGGGAACTACTCTTGGGACAGAAAAGAGCTTCATATCATTAGGAATCAATTATACAATCCACGTGTGTGTGTGTGTGTGTGTGTGTGTGTGTGTGTGTGTGTGTGTGTGTGTGTGTGTGTGTGTGTGTGTGTGTGTGTGTGTGTGTGTGTGTGTGTGTGTGTGTGTGTGTGTGTGTGTGTGCGTGTGTGTGTGTGTGTGTGTGTGTGTGTGTGTGTGTGTGTGCGTGCGCGTGCGTGTGTGTTAAATTAAAGTAATAATTCGCTTAGAATTACAAAAATACCCTACTGTTGTTACAAACATGACTTACTTGCTTCTGTTAAACATATACAGTAAAAAATTAAATATTAAAGAACATCTTGGCCACTCTTCTCCATATACACTCTTAAAAATAAAGGTTCCAATATATATATATATTTTTTTTTTTTTGCAGTGATGCCATTGGTTGCCAAAAGAACCTTTCCGTTATTATTGTGAAGAACATTTTATTTACATTTTAAATTAATGGAAAGGTTCCATGGATATTAAAGGTTCTGTAACACTTTCGTTTAAGTGTTCTCCATATTAACTAGCTGCTTATTAGCATGCATATTACTAGGATATTGCCTGTTTATTAGTACTTATACTTAGTACTTACCCAATACCTAAACTTAACAACTACCTTACTGACTATTAATAAGCAGTAATTAGGGGGTTAATGTGGCAAAAGTCATAGTTAGTTAGTTAATTGTGAGAATTGAATTATAATCTAAAGTGTGATCAAAGGTTTTTTATGGAACCATCAATGCCAATAAAGAACCTTTTTTTAAGAGTGTAATGAGTGAATACGGTTGTGAATAATGTTGTTAAGCTCCACAATGGCAAAAAAAAACACACCAATGTATCATACAAGATCTTTAAAAAAAAAAAAAAATGTATCATACAAGTTCTTTAAATGATTTATATATTAGATTTCAAGCCATTTGAAGCCATAAAAAGAATTATAAGAACAGAAGATTGAATAAAGACTAATTTCGCTTAAACTTTTTAATCACACAAACGTTATTAGATGGCTTTAAAAGACTTGGAATATAGCACATGAGTCATATGAACTTGTTTATGGTACTTTTTTTGTTGCTGCCACACTGTCTATTTGCTTTCATATATATATATATATATGAGGGTGAGTAAATAATGACAGAACATTCATTTTTCAGATGTACAGTGTATAGCAACATCATTGATGCAATATACACACAAAACACTTTCTCCTTATGAATCTTTTAGTTCCAACTCAGTAACTTGAGTGTGCTAAGCTGCTGTCGCTGACTGTGAGACTAGCATGTGTGCGGTATTCGCCAGCTCCTGTCTGTCCTCGGCTAAGCCTGCAGGGCTGAGCTCCTCTTAACCATGGAATCGCCAGCGCTGCACTCCCTCTCTTACGTAACCCTCTGATAGGCCTAACCCTTATGCGTAACCGCGGACAGGTGCAAGGAGCCTAGCAGCCTACAAGAACAACCACAAGCTTAGTTTTTCTTTTTCTTTAAATAATAGCGTTGGTCATGAATATATAACGTGTGTACACTAATTCTGATTCCTTGGTTCAGCAATGATGCATTTTGACAGATGCAAAACGCACGCATCTTGGTGTAGATAAATAGAAAACGAATTTGCAAATCTGTAATGGTTTTAGCAACACCAAGATGTTAACATTTAAAGAGGTAGTTAAATCCGGCGCTAACATCCCTCTAGGTTTTTCTATTTACATATTTCATCTCGTCCTTTAAGGTTTTTAATCCTTTAAGGAAGTAAAATCTGTATAGGTACCACAATGACAAATGTGCAGCATTGCTGTATTGGTAGGGATGGCGATGACATCATGTCCTGTTGGAATGTCATGGTGGTGTGGATGATTGCTCTGACAGGCAGACTATACAGGCCTCCTACCCATAAACCCAGGGAGGCTGTGGTCGTCCTGGCAACAGTGACACAGACACGGACGTCTCCTTATTTCATATGACAGGTCTACACACACAGGCCCTGTGGCCATTCTCACACAGACTCATCCAATATATTCATTCAGACCAAAACACTGTCATATGCAACACACAAAACGTTTAAACACACATTAACTGAATATTTCTCAACTTTCATCTGTAAATCATTCGTTTAGCTAGCATGCAGATCCAAATTTTGACTTGATAATAGTAACTAAACTAACACAACATTAACACGGGCAGCATGGCATATTTTATCGGTGGTCAATACTGCCATGGCCAAGCGATCCAGCGCCCTGCTTTTAACGGGCTATAAATAACTCGATGTCTGTCGTGTGCAATTTAAAGTTAAACAACTATTTTATAACACCGTTTTGTGTCTGATTGCATTCACAACAGGTTCAAGTCTCTGTGCTTGTTTGACCCAGTTTGGCTCTGGCACTGGTCAAAGTGGGTCATGAGAGGAACCGGTCCAGTGTTCTGAGTCTGGGGCCAATCACACAGAACTCACAGTCCTCGTTACCACACACAAAGCCTGAAGATTTAAGTACCAGGCCATAAAACATCATGCTGTATTGCAATGACCTTAAAAGCAAGGACAGGGTGTGCTACTTTTTCTTTTTGAAAAACTATTTTCACATGTTTTAATGTGAACCACAGTCCCTGCAGATGATAGTATTAGCGCCTCAAGATGAAATGCAGTGATAACAGTGTAACTGATCTATCTGAAGAGCCCTTAAAGTGTACATACTCAGTCTGTAATGGAGTCAAATTAAAACACTCGGGAGCATTCATAAGTTACTATTAAGCAGAATTGTTTCAGTTTTGATGCAAAGCAGGTAAAGGACGTCTATGTGAAATTGGAACAGTAAGGAATATTTCTTTAATTTGCCATCTATCTATCTATCTATCTATCTATCTATCTATCTATCTATCTATCGGTGAGTAAAAATAGTAAAATGTAATAAAACAATTTGCCAAAAAAAGGCATTAAAATAAAAAATTTAAATGACAATAAATTTGAATAATTTTTTACCTTAGGTCTATGGCTGCATAATTCATCAAAATGAAATGTTTGATAAAAATAGATTACTTTCGTAATATACTATTGTACTGTAAAATAAAATAAAATATTAGATATAAATATTAAAGATTAGATGTTTCATATAAATAAAGGACATAAAAAAATTTGCCAAAAAAATAAGACATTTCAAAACATTTACAAGTTTTTAACATTTGTTTTAATATTTTGCATCCATCCGCTTTAACCTATCCCAGTAGAACACTAAAATGTTCCTCCTAGTATTTTTTTTCCTTGTAAAAAATCTAGCTACAGTTGTCAATACTGCTCCAATTTTCATACAGAGAGGTAAACTCAAGGTGACATTGCCATGGAAACGACCTTGTGTGTGCTTCCTGTAGCTGAGGGTCATTGGGGGCAAACACCCACCCCCATAACCACCAAACCCAGAGACACTATGGCTTAAAACTAGTGGGCTTGACTGAGACAGTTAGAGCTACTATAGCCCAGACTAGTTAACGTGTATGTGTGTGTTAATCCCATTACATTGCTCATTGTACCTTTACAACAAACATAACATTTTCGTATGTGAAATATATTTTGCACAAAAGTACATATTCAGTCATGAAACGTGTATATTATTCACAGTATGAATACAAGATACAAACTGGCCAACATGTAATACATAGACTAGTCAGTCTCTCTGAGTTATATTCTCACAGTCAGATTAGCAGCGCGCACACACACACACATAACTAGATATGCACTCACACTTCCAAACCTCTGAGCTTCATACTGCGGTCTCAAGTCAGGTGTGTGTTTGCGTCAACAGTGCTTCTGTCTAAAAATGAAGACAGATGTTGTAGGTAAGACAACATTTCAGGTTTAAAAAGGTCTTAGTTTGTTTTGCAGTTTAATACGTTCACTTCACAGTTTAAGCAAGTACAGTAACATTTCATTTAGCACTTCTATTTAAAGCAACTTGCTACTCTTAAAAATGATTTTGGCAGGTAACAAAAATAGCCTTTGTGTTTTGTGTATTTAGTAACTTTTTGATTTCCAAAAACAATATCTTATTGTTTCATTTTGTTTTATGTATCGTCTTAATGATTCAGTTTCCTGTAAACTGTAATGCAGAGACGGAACTAAACAACTCGCAAGTGAGGAAGAAATGTTATCATTTTGATCTAGAATCATAGCTCAGATGCAGATCTTTTCTATGCTGAACTGATTTAATCTAAAGCAAAAATGTGTGTAAACTAATACTGCAGTTATTAAATCTCAGCTCAAACTACTTATTATTGACATTATTAATATTGTGATCATTTTTGGTGAGTTATATTAATGCACGCAGTGATGGATCTGGCATGGAACTCGCATTGTAGTGGTCTCTACTTCTAAACCATATCAGAATTGCATCTGAGACTGCTGTTGCAATGTATTTGTTTCATTTAGCTAGGTGCTTATACTTATTGGGAGTTCATAAAGGGGGAAAATATATATAGATATGTGTATATATATAAATGCAAATGTACAAGAATAACATGACCGAGATTGGAGTGGACGAGAAATATAACATTCGTTCTTTTTTGTCAATTTTTTGTCATTATAGGCAGATGTGAATTTGCTTTTGAGTGCAAGAAAGATTAATTGAGAATTGCTGCATCAGATAAGCCAGTTGAGACCAGGGGAACAAGCATGTGTAGAAATAATTTAGGATTAGATTGGGTGGCTAATCTCTTTATTGTGAGTGTGCCGTCTCAGCAGGGAGATGGGTTCCTCTCTCTGTGTTCATCTCCCTTGCTCTTTCTCTCTCTTAAAGGTTTTCTGTCTCCTTTTATCTTTTCTTTTACATTTCCTAGTCACACGGGCAAGCGATGGAAAGGTTGGAGCTGAGCCTCACGGCCATGTATTTGTATTTGGTTCCTCATTAAACAACTTGCCATGTTCTGATTACGTAATTCAGTGTGCACTGTAGCTTGCTCCAGCCTTTTCCTTGTACAAGTGCAAGGTTTTTCATAAAGGCAATCTCTCAAACACTATGCTTAAAATGGATAATAGAAGAAGAGGTGACAAAAGCACAACTGAGAATCCATTCTGGTTTACTGGTAAACCTGAGAGAATACTAGACTTTGAATGGCCTTTCATGTTTTTCTTTCTCTCTTCCAAGAACCACAGATTACAAAATGTCAAAGTGTCTTGACAAAAATGTAAAAGGCACATCCCTGTCCACTTTAAAAGTGATCACTCTTAGAATGATGGTGGTCAAGAGAGGAGCCCTGATGTACAGTCTTTATCACAGGAACAAAGGCATATAGTAATGTAACTGTATTTTTTTGTTTGTTCATTTTTGTCTATTTTTTAGCCCAAATTGAAGTCATACCATGCAAAATCTGTGGAGACAAGTCATCAGGCATCCACTATGGAGTCATCACATGTGAAGGCTGTAAGGTCAGTGAAAGATGTCTTTTCTTCTGTACATTTGTTAGTCATCCATGGACTTTTCCAAATGGTCCTACACTGCAAACATATACATTAATCAGTCAATAAGTCAGTTCAGTGTTGAATTGATTCAAGTTCAGTAACAGTGTCGATGTTGCAAAACATCATAAATAAAAAAATATACATTTCCAGTGTAATCATTTCTGCCACTCTTTTTTGTTTTAGACAGTGTAGATATGATTTTTCTGCATGTAACATATCTAAATCTTCTATTGTTGTTGTTGTGCCCTCTGTAGGGTTTCTTTAGGCGCAGTCAACAGAACAACGCCTCCTACTCCTGTCCCCGTCAGCGCAACTGCCTAATTGACCGAACAAACCGCAACCGCTGCCAGCACTGTCGGCTCCAAAAGTGCCTGGCTTTGGGCATGTCCCGGGATGGTGAGAGATTTCACATCAGGGTTCCTACACATTTTACATTTCAAAATTCCATACTTTTCCAGACTCTAATTTTCCAAACCTCTCTGTAGATTCAAAAGAATTAAGTTCTTTTATATTTTAGAAAATTGAATAGGGGCAATAGTCTGGAAACACAATTATATCCATACTCTGCTTTTCCATTCTTCTCCATCCTGGAAATTCCATACTTTTCCAAACTGCATAGGAACCTTGTAACATTCTAAAAGAAAAACATACTAATAATCTGCTTGTCGACAAGCTGGATTGATCTTATTGATAGCTTTAAAACCTGCACTAATCTCATTTGTTTTCTTTCGCCTTCCCCCATCAGCTGTTAAGTTTGGCCGCATGTCCAAGAAACAGAGAGACTCCTTGTACGCAGAGGTTCAAAAACACCAGCAGAGGCTGCAGGAGCAGCGGCAGCAGCAGACGGGCGAAGCGGAGGCCCTCGCTCGTGTTTACTCCTCCAGTCTCACCAACGGCCTCAGCACCCTCAACCATGAAATTGGAGGGACATACGCCAATGGTCACATTATAGACATGCCCAAGGGTCAGACGAACGGCGCTCCTGGAGGTTACTATGGCATGGACTCCACACAGGCCAGCCCGGATCAGTCTGGACTGGACATGACTGGAATGAAGCAGATCAAGCAGGAACCCATATATGATCTCACTCCTGTTCCCAACCTTTTCACCTACGGCTCCTATCAGGATAGCCAGCTAGCACCTGGAGTGTCTATGGGGGAATTAGGTACGACTAATAGTAAAGCCAGTTGGAAATTTGGCCCTCGAGTTGCATGGTTCATGGATGTATGACAATTTCTAGCAAACACATTTACCTTGGTTGCATGAAATCGTGATCTAATATTTGATGTCCCTTACATTGCACTGTATTTAAAACTCAACTGCAGTCATTCCCATCTGCTTTTCTCTTTACCAGACCGAATTGCACAGAACATCATAAAGTCCCACCTGGAGACGTGTCAGTACACAGCGGAAGAGCTTCAGCAGCTAGCCTGGCAGACGCACTCCTATGAAGAGGTCAAGATGTACCAAAGCAAGGTGTGAGGTCACTCTCTCAATGAGCAAATACCTCAGCTTACATGCTAAATACTTCCCCCTCACAACGCCTAGTTCTCAGTCGTACATTCATTTACACGCTTTTACACCTGGTGCTGACTCTCTCTCATCTCTCACCCTTTCAGTCCTCTTTGCTCGTACTTCGTTCCCTCTTCATAGTCAGATTGCACGCTTGAGATCAGAGTTCATTAGAGTATCTCAGCCCCCTGGAGCTGATCCTATCCAGCTTTTCCACTGATATGGAGAAAAAGAGAAAGCAAGAGAGCTAACGGATTTAGCTAACGAACACTCAAAGCACAATAGGGGAGGGTGCCAGACGCACTACAAGCCCTCTTCATTTCCCTGTGTCAAATGGATTATGGGTAATTACCGAGAAGCCCTTTGAAATAGTGCCTATGAAGATTCGCTATACAGGGAGAGAATTGCAGAGCTCACAAAAGCAATTTGCTGATATCACATTTCCAGTATTCTGTGTGCTCTGTCATAAATGGGAAACTACAGATTCTGCCTTTTTTGTTGTGATTTTTCATGATGAGCACTGAAAATTTCAATCATTACTTTTTAAAACTAAATTAAAGAGTAAAAGTGTACTCTACTTGTTTAATTTAGCTTTTATACAGAAGAGTGCAGAACAGTCTACATTAATTTTTTTTTCACCTCACCAATCAGAAGAGTGGAGAAATTACTGAAAAAAATGTGCTTTGCCATCACGGGAATAAATTACATTTAAGGTATACTAAAATAAAAAAAAGAGTTGTTTGAAATTACAATAATATTTCAAAATATGACTGTATTTTTGATCAAATGAAGAGTCTACTTTAAAATTAGCGATTACTGCAATTATTAACAGAGAAAAAAAGTTTCCCAGAAGCATGTAATAATTTCTCCTGAACAAAACAGATGACAAGCTTACCTATGAGGCCTATGTGTGTGTTTCAGACACGGGACGTGTTGTGGCAGCAGTGTGCTATGCAGATAACTCATGCCATTCAGTATGTGGTCGAGTTTGCTAAGCGCATCACTGGCTTCATGGAGCTTTGCCAGAACGACCAGATATTGCTGCTGAAATCAGGTAAAGAACAGACCATGATATATACTCTATTACACACTGATTAAGACTGTAGTACTGTAAATACAAATTTTGTGATGCTTAACACTTTTCTCTCAAACTCAGGTTGTCTGGAGGTTGTGCTGGTCAGAATGTGCCGGGCATTCAACCCTCTCAACAACATGGTTCTGTTTGAGGGGAAATATGGAGGCATGCAGATATTTAAAGCTCTAGGTACAACTATTCCCCATGCTCAATCATTAACGGCATTACAAAATGAAAACGCTATAAATATAGTTTAACATCATGTTAATTTGTAAATTATTAGTGATAATTTAAGCATGGATTCTAACATACTTACCTTCTGCAGGTTGTGACGACCTGGTCAGTGCGGTGTTTGACTTTGCCAAGAGTTTGTGTTCACTGCAGTTAACGGAAGAGGAGATCGCCCTTTTTTCTGCTGCGGTGCTCATTTCTACAGGTCAGACCTGACTACAAAACTGACAAGTATCTTAGTTGGAACATAAAGATGTGTTCATTGAGTATTAATGTGGTCAAATCAACAGATTTAGTACTTACCCTAACCCTGACCTACATATCATAGCACACACACCAGCAGATATTTATATATAATTATCTTGCGTTTCTAGACCGGCCTTGGTTAATGGAGCCCAGGAAAGTGCAGAAGCTACAAGAGAAAATCTACTTTGCCCTGCAGCACATCATGCAAAAGAACCATCTGGACGAGGACGCCCTGGCCAAGGTAGGACGTCTCAAGTGACCATGACACAGTTCAGACAGGAACTTAAATAGATGCAGTTTTATCATGTTTAGGCATGTGACCTTTATTCCACTGTACCCGTCTTTGTTTTCGCAGCTGATTAGCCGGATCCCTACGCTGTCGGCTCTGTGCACTCTCCACACGGAGGAGCTTCAGGCCTTCCAGCAGCTCCACCCAGAGACCGTTAACATGCTCTTTCCTCCTCTCTATAAGGAGCTTTTCAATCCTGATGCCGCTGGTGTCATGCCCAAATGACCAGACACGTTTACCCACACACTTCTACGTCTTTCATTTAACAATCGACAGGCTGTCCCTGGAAGGTGTTGCAGAAGATGAACACCGTGGCGCAGCATCCGCAGATTTTGGAGCCACACAACAACAACAACAAACTCTAGGAATGTTCTGCACTTCAAAAAAACAACTCAATTTCACCGGTACAGTCATAAGAATGTATATATGCGGCAGCAGCAAAAGGCGCCTTCAGTTTGACAAGAAATGTACAGACTTTAGGACAATTTAAGCTGTCTTTAAATTGGGTAAGTTAATTTGTTCAATTTGATTTCTCTCTTTTTTATATAAAATATTGTTATATTGAAATGAGAAGGTGGGGAGTGCATTCAAAAATGATAATGTAGTAATTTCTTTAGTACAAAGCGGTATTCCAGTATTACATTTTGTTCTGTTAATATTTTAGTCATAATTTAAAAACAACGGTGGCCTGAAAGGCCCGTACCTTGTCAATGTAATTTTTCGTATTTGTTTTGTAGTTTTACCTGTACATAATATGTGAAATTGAAACTGGTATAAGGTTAACGGGGGACTAACTTTGTTTGGTCACGTTTAAAAGCCTTGTCTGGGCTATGTAGATATGTATAAACAGCACCACATTAATCCTACCACTAAGGATTTTTGAAGTGGAAAAATAATTGATAATGATTATTTTCCATACGAAAATATAGAGATATATATTTTACAAAAATTGTATGGCTGATTACCATCTTGTCAGTCATAGATGCAATAACAGTTTCTGTAACTGCTGAAAAACAATCCAGTCAAATGTGACATTATGGGAAGCCCTCAGAACTACTTCGAATCTATAATCCCGTTTGCTCTTAATGCCTCAAAATGCTGTTCTTACTGCCAAAAATAAAACAGCACTCGTGTATGTGAAGCTGCAGCCCTCTATCTGTGAAGGCATAAATAGCTAGTACAAAATAAGCTCTATCATTTACTGCCACTGATATGAAGTGTACTGAACTTTTTTTCTGCTGCCTTTATAGTAGATTCTCTGATTTGAGCAATAATTTCTAATCTGTCATTAGGTGCCCAGGTCAGACTGGGTCTGTGGTATTCTTAACCATATGCTAATTGTAAAGTACTCAGCCTTATTTTGAACATCAATTTATTTACATATTCATTAGATAAAATATTTTCTGTTTGGCAATACTTGATTTAAGGTGAATATCTGAAGACATCTAAAAATGATTTAAAAAAATTCAAAGATAACAATCATGGGATTTAAGCAATTATTTGGAGCATTGTCCAATTCAAAGACATTATTTCAGGAATTCCATTGGAATTTTTAATCATAATTTGGAACTAATCCTATTTTATCATAATCAAATAGAATTTCTACTAAAAAAAAAGGATCCTACTGGATAAATGGAAAATTTTCATGTTTTTATTTATTTATGTATTTATTTTATTTATTTTTGGGGGAGAAGATTGCTTAATCGTGAATAAAAAAGGAATATAATTCGGATTAGGTGATTGTCTTGGAATTTAACGGGTTAAGAATCAATTTTAGGAAACCAGATTTAAATATGACACCATTAACCGTCATTCTTAAGCACAGAGATGTTTCAATACACTGAGCATCCTTAAACTGCTGTAATCCACTGTTAAAAGACTTTAAAAAAGCTTAATGCAAGTGGTAATAATGACAATCATCTTTGAGTACTCATATTGCAGTAAAGAACCACAAATGCAGCTACTGTAGGAAGATTGGTAGTTCAATTGGAGGAATTCTGAAAGGGCAATTTGGGTTTGGACCCTTTTGGTCCAAACATAAATCTCATAAAGTACCATCTCTTACCACCAGGTGGAGATACTAAGAGCGCTTTTTCCCTTCTCTTGGCATGTACAGGATGTAAAGCCATATGTCAGTTTCAAAAGAAAAAACAAAAACAAATACACAAGCTAGGACATTCGGTTACACCGATCAGTGAATTTTTTGTACATCTCGATGCATTTATATTGTGAAATGCATTTGAAAGCACTTAACTACTGTATGAAGGATTACTAACTACAGATACATGGTATTAAATACATGCACAAATGTTGTCTGCTGAGAAGCAATCATACTACCTGTTCAAGTCATCCTACTGAACCAAACGCTCTCAGCCCAACTTCAAGGGAATGTTTCCAATTCCTTCAATGTTAGTGTCCTGTTCAAGACAATCATTTCCGGGTGCATTTTTTCTTGGCACCCATCTCAGGGACTTCTCTTTTAATGTTTTCAATAGAAAGAGAGTACTATTTTAAAAGAAATATGGACATTTTTATGGAATTAAATACAATCACAGCGGTTTCTTCACATACAAAACCTACCCAGACAAGGCTTTGGTGTGTGTGTAAAGCGTGTACCCATCAGTGAGGGGTGAAACAGGCTCGATTGCCACACTGCATCGCTTGTTGCACGTCCCAGCAAACAGCTCTCTCTCTGTAAATATCAATGTGCAGCAGTGTACCAGCAATGGTGCCAGTCCTGAGCTCCAAATTAAAATGTAATGTAATTATTAAGCATCTCCTGAAATTAAATGGATTTTATGTAAGTTAGATTATTTATACAGAGCATGAATAAGCTGCTCTCTATCTATTTCTATGCTCATTACAAAAAATGGATTCAGTCAGAAATCATTTCAAACATATGATGAAGGCTTTTTGTATTAGACTGTGAAATGAGGGCGAGAGGAATTTGTATCTATATGAGGTTCGACACTGTTAGGTACTGTAGCAATAACTGGAAGCATTTACTACAGTCATCTTTGCATTCTAAGATTATTTTTATTTTATTATAATATTATTAGCCTATTGTTGTTCAGTTATTCTTGCATGCTGGTTCATAATAATGAAACCTTTGGGCTTTTGTGTTTTCTTATGTGTTGCTGAAAGGGGGTGGGCAACGAGGGGCGGGGTGGGGGCGTTGGTTTCGGGCTCGTTTTTATTCTGAATGTTTCTGGGTTGATGTTGACTGAAAACACCACACCCTCTTAATTCTGTTCTCACACACACTGACATAAGCACAAAGTATTTCTTATTGTGTAGGAGTAAAATAATATAAGGGCACTAGTTCAAAACATACACTACGCAATGTGAACGCAGACGCGAGTTCTACTTGACCGCATGGGGCGTTATGGCGCGAATTAGCGAAAATATATTCTATTGCGGTCTGTTCTCTTTTAGGTCAATTACTGTCGTGGCTGAGCTACAGTTAGTTAAAGTATGTTTGTGGCAACTGAACTTACCTGAATGTAACTCTTATCTCCCCCTAGAGACTTGTTACAGCCGCCAGATCAATGTGTCAGTGCGTGCGTTGACCAAGTTGACTCGCGTCTGCGCATGCTTACATTAAATGTTTTGGTCCTTGCTGAAGACTAGTTCCGAATGAATATATCAGCTAGGCATAAACTAGTCCTACCTTTAAAATGAAAGAAATAACAGATGTCTATGTGTTCCGTGCAGCCACAGATGGCCACAGTACACATTCTACTGAAGTTCTGATGCATAGGCTACTACACATTTCTATTTTGTTTTCTTTCGTTCATTTCTTTTTTATTCTTCTTCTTTTTTTTTTTGTTAATTCATGAATCAGAATGTCTCCCTGGATGAAAACAAAACTAAACAAACAACAAACAAAGGTAGCATATGTTACCAAAACCCTTAAGACTGTACTTAGCGTGCAAAATCTTTTTATGTACTAAATATGTAAACGAAACATTTTTGTTTTCAAGTGCCATAGCTAGTGTGAAGTGAAGCTGAATGGCATACGGGGTAGATGCTTTACTGTACAAGTTGTTTACTTGAGAAGCAATCAAAAAGTGGAATTCAGATGCAAGTGTGAATATTCAGACAACCAACTGTTTGTTGTTCATGGAGAACGGGCTCTGATTGACAGAACTTTAGCACATGTCCACAATACAAGTAAAGCACATGTAGCATGGGAGGGTGGGGGGTTCTGTTAACTTGCCAACGGTGTGAGTGTGTGCATATGTGTGTATGTATAAATGTGAGTTGGATTGTAAAATATTATATAAGTTAAGGGTGAATAGCACTTTGTGTGAGTGAATGAATATGTCTGAATGAATATGAGTTGAGGTGGGGGGGGAGAGCTTGAGGTGCAAGCATTGTGGAATGGACATGCAAAAGTACTGATTAATCAAGACCTTAAAGTGTCTCCTCCATGTTGTATATACTAAGCGAAGGACTTAAGTGATTTTTTGTTAAATTCTATATTTTATGGCTTTTGTAGACATTTCTTTGTGGGATAAAAAAAAATAAAGAACATTTTATGGATGCAATCTTGTCTTCATTTCTTGTGTTCCAGTAAAATTATCGAAACATCCTTAAAACAATATAATGATCTTATTATATTGCAATAAATAAATAAATATATCTTGTTTTAAGGATGTTTAGATTATTATTAGTATTATTATTTGTAAAACAAATTATAAATACTGAATTATATTTTGCACTCATGGACAGGCCCAGTTCTAGGACTGCATGGTTGGCTAGACTTGATTCATAGGTTTTTGATTGAATTCACAAGCAATCAAATTCTTCATAATAAAAATTGTATAAGATTTGAATAAAATGCATTAAAAATATTTGTATTACTTTCTCTAATGTCTCTTGAGCAAGAAAAATAAACTACATCATTGCACCAAAGTCAGTGGTAAAATTAAATATATGTATTGTTGAGGTCATACGTTTACCCTAGCATAATCTACATTAAAAGAGGGATCATAAAAATTGCATTTTGTTTTTATTTAGTACTGCTGTTTTAAATCATGTTATTTCACATAACAGATGTTTAAATAGACTACAAGACCAAATGAATAACCAAACTTACACAAAAGCCCCAGTTAAAATTTTTGCATATGCTTGATTCTTAATATTGTGTCGTCACCTGGATGATCAGAAGCTTCTCAAGCAAGTTCCTTGGATCTCAATATCATACAGTCACTGTTGGAAAGAGTTAGTGAAGGATTTTTCTGAAGAACAGTGGACCGAGCTGCTCAGGACAAACAAGGGACTCAATCATATAATAATAATACTATTATTTTGTCTTGTGGACTTTATGTTATGTAAAAAAAAAAAGAAGAAGCTTAGCTTATTTAGGGCAGTACAACATAAAAAGCAGTATGCAACTTATGATACCTCTTATTATTAACATTTTGCAGATCTGCAAGGTGTATGCAAACTTGTGACCTCAACTATTCAGAAAGGCTGTCTGAAAACAACTAAGAGTGCAATAATATTTTAGAGCGGAGCAAAGCTGAGCAAAAATATTCCATATTTCAGTAGAATAAATATTTAATTTTTAAAGGTTTTATTTTTATTTATTTCCATGATATCCTGGAAATAACTATTTGAAAATTCCCTGGAAAATAGGTTTTCCATGACCATCAACGTATCAATGGTTGGAGCACTTTGACTAGACTAAAAGCAAATGTGAGAGAGCTGTCATTTGCTCATTGTGATAGTGGTGTTGCATATTGTATTAATATTTTATTTCTCTTTAAACGTAAAAACATATTTTAAACAGTGTTTAAAACATTAATATAGGTATTGACATGAACTAATAATAAAAAAGGTGAAATGGAAAAATGTCAGATCAGATCTTTCACGGGTCTTTATCTTTATCAACTTTTGCACCTGTTACCGTTTATCATAAACTAGCATCAGCCAAAAACAACTCAAACGAAAATGTTTTGTCACCTTGAGCAGGTTTTTACTACTTTTATTTATATATATATATATATATTGTTTTGATTTGAGATTAGAGGAAACAGGATGTGAACATGACGAGCTCCACTGGAAAC